CGATAGATTAAAAATGACGATAGCGTGTTTTGATACTCTCATCAAACATGGTTTTCGACCAATCATAGCGCGCGTAGTATCCCAATTATTTTATAAAATATAATTGTTATTTCCCATGTGCCATTTCGGTCTCAGCTTTTATGTTCTATGTTTCTGAACTACGACAACGATTCTTTAATTGAGTCTATATAGCAGCATAAGACGTGAATTGCGACCAAAGAGTGCGCCGGATAACAAGGGGCCATTTTTCTGCGCATGCGCGCCATACCTGAGCTCATGTGTACTGCATTAGAGTTTCGATCATGTGGCGATACTCTGATAAATATGCTCAAAGATCTGCTTTTTCGTCTTCTGAAACGATTCGATATAGGCTCGGGCATTAAGCCTGACATCGAATATGTATCATTTGTGCGATTCAAGTGAATATCAACTTGAATGTATTTAATTCGGTCAAGGAAGGTTTAATTGTGTTTATCTGTTTATCTTTATTCTCGAGCACTTTTCTGACTTTTGAGAGAAACTACCACACAAAATTCATTTGATGTGATGTCTTTGTTATCTGTGCTTTTGACCTGTCGTGTTTGATTAGTTAGAAAAATTGGAGAAAATAGAGCAATTATTATTTTTCTGCAAGGGCATAGTCTAGATTGGCCCATGTATAAAGCTACTATTCAAAAATTGTTTCAGAAAATGTTTTAGCCGATTTTACATGTAGCTGATTAGTTTTAAATAACGGTGGAAATTATAAGAAGGAGAAATAAATAAATCGAACACCGAGACATCTCGCTACAAGCTAAATGTGTGGGTACCCTGTGTTGAGGCTGCATTACTATCCCACAGCACAGCAGTTCGCGCATGGTCATGCAAAATGGCCCCTTGTTGCGCCGGATATATTATATTCACTTGTGTAAAAATACTAATATGTGTTATAATAACTTTACAGGGCAAAGTGGAACCTTTTACGGGCTAAAATGAGTAAAAAAACAGCGGGCTAAAATATATTTTAGTATATATTATTATGTTTGAGTTTTGGGCCCTTGCACCAGCAAATTAGCCCTCTCACATTCTCGGACTAAAATGAGCTTTGCTCTGGCCCAAAACACAATTTACACCCTCGAACATCAACTCTATAGTTATAATCATAAACACAATCCTTCAAGGCGAAAATATATTAAAAAATGGTCTCAGCTTCTATTAGGATCGTGTTCTGACCAATCACATGTAACAGTTAACTCTTGCATGCGATTGTTCAGAACAAGATGTTAAACATTCCATATTTTGGGTGTTCAAGGTTTCCTTAGTTTGACTGTTTCATGTGATAATCACTAAATCTACCTACATATCATCTACCTACCTTATTATTTATATGCATGCCTGCTTGTTTGTCATTGACGTGTAATTTTCTAGTTTATCTGTATGCTGTTTTTTGATGGGCTTTCTTGGGATTGACAATTGATTTTCATTATATTTTTTAGACTCAACCTGATAATATGTTTGTGAATATGACAGCAATACAAGCCGATGTACTTGTATCAAACAAAGTGAATATTCCTGGAGGTAGGTTTAAATAAATGAGTATCAAACAAAGTAAATATTCCTGGAGGTAGGTTTGAATAAACGAGACAATATTAAATATAGTGTCATCATCATCATCATCATCATAATAATAATAATGATAATAATAATAATAATAATAATAATTCGCAAATTCGCACTTCCCGTGCTTAACTACCTGATGTGGACCCAACATTGGCCTATCACCGAGCTGAGAGCGATTGACAGAGAGACAAGAAAGATCATTCATGAGAACGGAGGGAAACACTATCCACTGAGTTCAACAGCTGTTATGTACCTACCTAGACACAAGGGAGGGCGTGGCCTGAGATCCGTCGAATACGAGTACAAGCTTACAAAGATTAAAGCTGCTGTAAAGCTCTACCAGAATGCAGACACTACGATGAAAGCTGTCCAGATGTTTGAGGAGAGAGCAGCGGAGGAAGGCCATTCGTCAATACTAACTGATGCACACAAATATGCAGAGGAGCTGAAGATAACGTTATTTTTAAAGTATCCAAATCCATCATTTACTTCGACCAGAAAACCAGAAGTAGAAATTGAAGGAACGAAAATTAAAGAACACTTGAAGAGAGCACTGGTAGACAAGCTACAGGAGACGAWRAACGCAGAGAAATGGCATGGTCGATTTCTCTCATCGCGTTGGAAAGATAAAGAACTTAGTCAAGATGCATGTTTTGCATGGATGAAAGATTGGACGACTGCACCAACTCATACAGTTGCTGGTATGATGGAGCTCTATGAACAACTATTGCCAACCAAAGTGTATACGTCACACAAGACCAAAACAACCCAGGGAGATGTAAGCTGTAGGCTGTGCGGTAAAGAAGCAGAGACCCTTCCACACGTTCTGTCAGGATGTTCTACGCTGGCTCAATCAAAGTACTTGGACCGACACAATGCTGCTCTGAAGATATTATTCTTTGAGAAGTGCAAAGATCTTAAATTAGTGGAAAGTATTCCCCCTTGGTACTCACCTGTGACTCCAAAACCTATCTATGAGTCGGATGATGCTAAAGCTTTCTGGGATGTACCGGTGTATGCTGAACACACCTACGTCAAAGCCAATAGGGTGGATGTACGATTCGTGGACCACAAGGCAAAGCAAGTCTGGGCAGTAGAAATGAGCTGTCCMTGGATTGAGAATCGTGAAAAGAAAGTTGAGGAGAAGGCAATCAAGTACGGTGCACTACTCTTGGAGTTAAAACAACAGCACCCTGGTTACAAGGTACAGCAATGCAATATCATAATTGATGCATTGGGAGGATGGTCAAAGAAGCTAGAGCAAACTATGAAGAAGCTTGTTGGTGCCCGATCAAAGTGTGTTTTGGAGAAGATGCAGAAAGCCATCATCTCTTACTCGCTCCATATAGCACGAATATTTAAAGCAACTGTTATATAAGCTTGGACATCTATTTAAATTTATTGTAGTTAGTTTCCTTTTAGACTTTATAGGTTACGCTGTGCGCCCTATACAGGTCATAGATTTTTTGCATCTATACGTTTTAGTACTGCACATAATAATAGTAATAATAATGATAATAATAATAATAATAATAATAATAATAATAATAATAATAATAATATGCTTTATGCTACTGCTACAGTCGTAACTGAAGAAATGGGAGTCGAGATAAAGGTAAACAACAATAGCAATAATAACTATAAGCGAGAACCACCATGGAAGAGAAGACTACAAGACAAGATTACAAGCCTAAGAAAGGATTTAAGTAGGATGAAAGAACTAGATCCTTTTGTATAGCTCTGGCTAGCAAATTGTGCCATCTATTCGGTTCTGGCTGCATTTTTAGCCATGAAAGGCTGGGAAAAAGTAAACAATGGGAAAAAACAACGAAGAAGAGCCCTGAGGAGAAGATGAAGGGATTATACGAAACTCAAGCAGGTGAAATAAGGAAGAACATTTCAATCGTCGTGGCCGAAATAGTAAGATTAAGATCAAATCAAAGACTTAAAACCAAAGGCAGGAAGAACAGAGCTAAACTTCAGAAAAACACTGTAAGTCATTGTCAGTAGCTGATTTAGTTAGCTACATGGATAAGGAAAAGTCAAAGTTGCGGAAGCTGAAGAGAAATTTTTGGCGTTCAAAGAACCTTGAAGAAGCAAGGCAGCTCAGCTAAACATTCTTCGCGGATCCTGGAAGTGTATATACCACCTTTGCTAAAATGTAAGAAAATCAGACGGATGTTCACAAACCAAAGTACGGCGGAACTATGCAAGCGACACAAGACAATAACAATAAGTACACGAGCATTGATGAAGCGAGTAGTTTTTGGAAAAGTCTTTGGGAAGAAGAAGGAACCGGAAATACGGAAGCAGAATGGATCGAGGAGATCAAAGTGGCAATGAAAGATGTAGTACCGGAAATACCAACAGATGGATGAAATTTGAATGTAGCACAAGTTACTAAGATCAACAATAGAAAAAGAAAAACTGGAGCGCACCCGGCCCCGACCGTATTGCTAATTTCTGGTGGAGAAAGGCAACGGTCTGACACAAAGAAATGGCCACTTGTTTCCAGGCCACTGCTCAACTTAAAGAACTCCAGTTTCCTCTATGGTTTGCGAAAGGCAAGACAACCCTGATTCCCAAACCTGGTGAGTTCAGAAGTGACAACCAACGCCCTATCACCTGCCTGAATAACTTGTATGAGTGGTATACTTCATGTCTTCTAGCTCAAGCTAATCAGCATATCGAAAAGTACGGATTGATGCAACGTGAACAACGTGTTGCTAGGGAGAAATGAAGCGGAACTGTTGATAATTTACTATTTTACAATAACTTACAAATTTCTCGCGCGCTGATTGGTTATTTTTTATCATCAATAAGAGGAGCGAGCGAGCGCTCTTTCCGTTGGTTGTTTTGATCGCTAAAAATGAGAAGTTTATATCGTTTTTGCTACGCCTCGTGGATCCACACTACTTTGACAATGTGATGACGCAATTTATCGTCAATAAGAGGACAGACACATAAAAAACTGATGTCTATTTGTTATATCGATCGTATCGTTTGAGGATGCTCACAGAGGAAATAGAAATCTCAGTATGGCCTGGATTGATGTAACTAAAGCCTATGACTCTTTTGATCATTGCTGGTTATCTAAAATGTTCACTCTACGCACACAGATTCACCTTATGGTTTGTTGGAGTGTCGATGGAGAAGCTTGGTAAAAGTTGGTATACTTGCGCATTGTTCCTCAAACGGCCCAAGGCAAAGAGATCTCTCCAACAATACGGTTCAAGAAAGGACTTCCACAAGGTGATAATAATAATAATAATAATAATAATA